GCGCTGAGACTCTTCGGACTTGGCCCGGTGCTCATTCATTTGGTCTTCAAACGTCCGACACATCTTCTCCAGATTGGCCTAGGTTTCCAGAAGGAGAAGACGGGGTGAAAAAAATTAGAGAAATAGATTTCAATAAGGGAGGGGTAGATGGTGTATGGATTGGATGGATGGATGGGTAGTTGGATGGATAGATAGATAGATCGGTAGATGATAGGTAGATTGGATAGATGGATGGGTGAGTGGATGGATGGATGGATGGATGGATGGATGGATGGATGGATGGATGGACAGACCGATGGAGAAACAAGTCATTTTGTCTTGACATACATTGAACTACTATCATCCTCACAAACATGGCTCTGCTGGTTGAGGATGATGGAAGCTAGGACCATGATATGCCATGGCATATTTTAAAAAGTACAATGGAATGACAAGTTCAAAGAAAAAGAAAATAGGAGGAAGGTTGAGTAAAAACTCAAAATCATTGAGGATCAAAAGATTGTGGAGCAGATCCCGTTCAGATGTAGGGACAATTCATATTCTCCTCGTCTTTTGGGCTCTTCCTCCTTTCCAAATTAATTATGACTGTGTCTCCATCTCCAAAACCCAACCTTGTCCACAAATCTGGATTTCCCTCCACCCATTTCTAAGGGGCAGCTGCACTGGGGGCCCCGCCCACCACCTCTTCATCAATGTTGGACCTTGGCTTTCACGAGCTGCTCCATGTTGGAGGCCATGTCGTCCACTTCTAGCTTCAGCTCGCTCTTCTCCTTCTCCAGCTTCTGCTTCACCCGCTGCAGGTTGTCGATCTGCTCGCCCAGCTCGGCCACGGAATCCGCGTGCTTCTTGCGCAGGGTGGCCGCCGTGGCCTCGTGCTGCAGCGTGGACTCTTCCAGGTCGCGCCGCATCTTCTGGAACTCGGCCTCCCGCTTCTTGTTCATCTCGATCTGCACCGAGGTGGCCCCTCCGGCTTCCTCCAGACGCTCACTGATCTCCTCCAGTTCTCGCGAGAGTTCAGCCCGCTGTTTCTCCACCTTGGCGCGGGCCGTGCGCTCCGCTTCTAGTTCTTCCTCCAGTTCCTCGATTCGTGCCTGGGTCAGGGAGAAGGAAGTCATTTAATGGTTCAGAAAGTAGACTTAACCTGAGTTAATTTTGACTCAAAATGAATCTGATATCTCCAGATGGCCAAACTCAAACCGAAGATCCTAAGGGTTTCCAGAGAAAGACATTGGAAATGCAAAAATAATTGTCCTGGAGAACCAATAATTTAGATAGAACCAGAGGTGGGTTTAATTTTACCACTGGTTCGCCGCACACTGAAACTGTGAGCATGCATGCAGCTTGCACACCTGTACGCGGCTTAGAACATGTGACTAAATAGGATGGCATAGAGCAGCGGCAGGTGGATGGAGCCCACCCGGAGGTCGCACTACCATTTTGCCTGAACCAGTCTGAACCGGCTGAATACCACCACTAGGTAGAACCTACCTAGATTAGAAGTTCTTGAGTACTTCAGCCCATGAGGACATTTTTGCTATTATGGCTATTGATTCGCGGAAACAGAGAGTTGTAACAGTGAGAACCTTGGTACTTGTGGACACCGTGTTGGACATTCTAGACCTGGGGTGTCAAACTCAAGGCCCGTGGGCCAGATCTGGCCCACAATGTGGTTGGATCTGGCCCACAAGGCTGATCTGGTCCACCCAATGCGAAGAGAAAATGCTAACAGTTTGGAGAGTGGCACCAAGCTGGCCATGCCCACCCAGTCAGTCATGCCCAGTGAGTGGTGTCAAGCTGGCCATGCCCACCCAGTCGGCCATGCCCAGTGAGTGGTGTCAAGCTGGCCATGCCCACCCAGTCGGCCATGCCCAGTGAGTGGCGTCAAGCTGGCCATGCCCACCCAGTCGGCCATGCCCAGTGAGTGGTGTCAAGCTGGCCATGCCCACCCAGTCGGTCATGCCCAGTGAGTGGCGTCAAGCTGGCCATGCCCACCCAGTCGGCCATGCCCAGTGAGTGGTGTCAAGCTGGCCATGCCCACCCAGTCGGTCATGCCCAGTGAGTGGCGTCAAGCTGGCCATGCCCACCCAGTCGGCCATGCCCAGTGAGTGGTGTCAAGCTGGCCATGCCCACCCAGTCGGTCA